TCTCTCGCAGGTGGGCATCAACTACCAGCCCCCCACCGTCGTCCCCGGGGGTGACCTGGCCAAGGTGCAGCGGGCTGTGTGCATGCTGAGCAACACTACCGCCATTGCCGAGGCCTGGGCCCGCCTGGACCATAAGTTTGACCTCATGTACGCAAAGCGGGCCTTTGTGCACTGGTACGTGGGGGAAGGCATGGAGGAAGGGGAGTTCTCTGAGGCCCGGGAGGACCTGGCAGCTCTGGAGAAAGATTATGAAGAGGTGGGTGTGGATTCCGTGGAAGCAGAGGCCGAAGAAGGGGAAGAATACTGAATGGGAGTGCATCTGGCAACCATCCCTTTGTATCGCATCGCCCCCACTATAACATTACAAGATGTGTTTATCTATTAAAGTTTCTGTATTGAAGCATCGTGTCCCTTGTGCTGCACCTTGACAGAATTCTCGATACAGATACCTGCCTTTTCCAAGTGCATTTCCAGGGGGGAAAAAATGTTTCCTCTCAGAAAAAGCCAAGCACGTTTGTCTATGTTTAGTTACTTTACCCCTAGAAAGGCGGCTTCAAAAGGCATGGCTGAGGGAATTAGGAAAAATGCTTTGGTTATTCTTAAATCTTTTTATTCTTGATGTTCCTTTGGAAAATGGAATAGTAATCTGGTTTGTTTTTCTAAATGTGGAGTGGCTACTTTGACCCAGTCTTGTGGGAGGGCCCAGGGAGGCAGCCCCACCCTAGTGCAAACTCCTTTACTGAGGCTGTTTCCAGCAAGGCCTTTGTTTTTGGGTTTTTTTGGTTTGTTTTAATTTTTTCTTTTATTATTTATTTGAGAGAGAGCGAGGGAGTGAGCACGAGTGGGGGGCAGGAAAGGGAAAAGCAGGCTCCCTACTGAGCAGGGAGCCCAAACTGGGGCAACCCAGGACCCCGAGATCATGAACTGAGCCGAAGGCAAACGCTTTAACTGAGCCACCCAGGCGCCCCTCTTTGGTTTTTTAAAAAAGATTTATTCATCTTCATTTTAGAGAAAAATTGATCACAAGCAGAAGGGGCAGAGGAAGGGGGAAGGAGAATCCCAAGTCAACTGCGCTGAGCGCAGAGCCCAAAGTAGAGCTCCATCTCAAGACCCTGACTGAGGTCATGACCTAAGCCAAAACCAAGAGCGGAATGCTCAACCGACCGGGCCACCCAGGCGCCCCTTGGCCTTTGTTTTTATCCCTAACTCGGCCGCCTCCCTGCCGGAAGGAACTACAACAGAACCTTCTGCCCATTACATTTTCCCAAAATGTGATCTGTGCCCACCGCCCACCCATCCAATTTATAGGCACCTCTCCCGGAGTAAGCTGTGAACACTGGACTTTGTCAGGTTCTTTTGATCACGCACCCCGGCCCCTTTTTGTTCTCGCTGGAGTTTCCTTTCTTGCAGTCTAGTCTTTCCCGGGAGCCAGCATGGGTCCCAGGACCCTGCCGGTTTCCCGCTGCCGCGCCGCCAGACCCGTAGGCCGGGACTCCGCCGCCAAGCGAGGCCGCTCCTTGGGTGCCAGGAGTTACCCCGAAAGACAAAGAGGGACCCACGTGTGCGACGGCGCTAGCGTTCAGGGAGGCTGGGGCCGCGCAGACCCGGCGGCGACCTTACGCTCCCGCCGCTTCCGGGGCCCGCCCCGCCCCTCCGGCCAGCGCCTCACTCTTCCGAGTCTCTATGGTACCAACTTCCACCGCGCGCCACTCCTCGCGAGACTTCGGCGGCGCAGCAATGGCGAGATCGTGAGTGCCGCTGACGGGAGTCACGAGAACGGGCTGGGACGGGGCTCGGGGGAGATCGGGCCGGGGGAGACCCGGCAGGCCAAGGCCGCCTGGAGCGGAGCGGCGGCTGGGGGCGTGAGGCCCCTGCGGGCCTGGACAGCCGCCCACGAACAAGCTCCCGCCTCTTCCCCAGATGCCGCGTCACTGCTCCGCCGCCGGCTGCTGCACACGGGACACGCGCGAGACGCGCAACCGCGGCATCTCTTTCCACAGGTCAGCGCGCGTGCGTGCTGGCGCGCGAAGGTTCACGGGCGCATGCGCCCGTTCCCCTCCCTCCTCCGCCCCCCCCCCTCCGTGGAGCCACGATTGCGCGTGCGCCTCCCTCTGTTTGGCGCGAGGCTTGTACTTGTAGGTGGGAAAGGGTGAAGGGGGCGGTGCCGGTGCGACTGAATCTAGATGGGAGAGGAAGCGCGGGAGATCCACGAGCCTGGGGCCTTCTGTTCTGTGCCTCTTACCTACTAGGTGATACTAAGGAAGTTGCTCTCCCTGAGGCCTCAGTTTCGTCATCTGGGCTTGGGAGGACGGTGTTTACCCGGAATTGAAGGGAGGTCTGGTGGCGGCATGTGCAGGACCAGCCCTTGCCTCCTGGAGAGCTTGGGCAGCTGGAGCCCAGGGCTGCAGACACCCTGGTGCTCACTGGTTTGTGGCTCCGCAGACTTCCCAAGAAGGACAACCCGAGGCGAGGCTTGTGGCTGGCCAACTGCCAGCGGCTGGACCCCAGCGGCCAGGGCCTGTGGGACCCGGCTTCCGAGTACATCTACTTCTGCTCCAAACACTTCGAGGAAAACTGCTTTGAGCTGGTGGGAATCAGGTGAGCTCCCTTGGCGGCCACCGCTGGGGCAGGGTTTGAAGCATCAGAGTAGCTGGCCGATTGGGGCAGCTGTAGGGCCAGAGGAGGAGGGTCCTGCAGTCACTGGCTGGGGGACAAGACAGACCTGGTTCCCAGCGTCGCTGCCTCTTCCCAGCTTTGTACCTCAGTGACAGGAAGACCCATCCCCTCAGGATAACTGGGCCAGTGACAAGGGAGAAAAACATTAGCTTTTTCAGAGGCTGTTCCTTAGAACCCAAGTCCTCCCAGCAAGTCCACAATGAAATTTTTCTTTTTGGCTGGTCAGCCTAGTTCCAGTGCAGCCTTTCTACACACCTTCACTTTGAGGAGTCCTGCAGGGAAGAGAATGGGTGTAACTCTACCTAACTTGGTATTCCCTAAATTAAGTGATTGCAGCATGTCTACCCACCTCCCACAATGCTAGCATGGGAGAGCCTGGTCCAGGGTGCTGGGGGCATGCTAGCTCTGTGCCCTGCAGGTTGCCCTGGGTGGCAGTATGTGTTCTCCATCTCATCCAGGCTGCTTTCCCCCACAGTGGGTATCACAGGCTGAAGGAGGGGGCAGTTCCCACGATATTTGAATCTTTCTCCAAGTTACGTCGGACAACAAAGACCAAGGGGCACAGTTATCCACCTGGCCCCCCTGACGTCAGCCGGCTCCGGCGATGCAGGAAGCGGTATGTGTGCTTGGGTGGAGGGTGCCTTGCTCCCACCCCAAGTCTGAGAGACTGGGGTTTATTTAGGGTGTCTGCCAGCAATCTTGCTGGACAGGGTTCTGAGCTGGTAGAGTGGGCTCAGTGGGCTGGTGAAGTGGGGTCTGGCAAGGCCTTGGCCTGGCCTATTAGTCTCTTTCTCTCTCTTCTCTCAGCTGCTCTGAGGGCCGGGGGCCCACGACTCCATTTTCTCCACCTCCACCTGCTGATGTCACCTGCTTTCCCGTGGAAGAGGCCTCAGCCCCTGCTGCTTTGCCTGCCTCCCCCACTGGGAGGCTGGAGGCTGGCCTCAGCAGCCCCTTTGCAGACCTCCTGGGGCCCCTGGGTGCCCAGGCAGATGAAGCAGGCTGCAGCGCCCAGCCCTCGCCGGAGCGGGAGCCTGACAGACAGCCGTCCCCCCTCGAGCCCCGGCCCGTCTCACCCTCAGCCTACATGCTGCGCCTGCCCCCCCCGGCCGGCGCCTACATCCAGAATGAGCACAGCTACCAGGTGGGCAGCGCCCTGCTCTGGAAGCGGCGGGCTGAGGCCGCACTCGATGCCCTGGACAAGGCCCAGCGCCAGCTGCAGGCCTGCAAGCGGCGAGAGCAGCGCCTGCGGCTACGGCTGAGCAAGCTGCAGCAGGAGCGCGCCCGGGAGAAGCGGGCACAGGCAGATGCCCGCCAGACTCTGAAGGAGCACGTGCAGGACTTTGCCATGCAGCTGAGCAGCAGCATGGCGTGAGGGAGGGGCTGCTGGCCCCAGGGCTCCCTTGAAGGGCTACCTGTCGAGGAGTCGGCCTCTTCCTCCCTTGGAATCTGCCTGGAAAAGGACCCAATCTGAGCTGTGTCCACCAGACCTGCCAGATGCCATAATAAAGTGGATTCTAGGAGGCCCTGCTATCTGGCTCAGCTGCAGCTGGGGCCCCTCCCCTGGAGTCTGAGCTCTCAGCTGTGGAGAGCAAGAAGTGCAGCTCTTGCCCGCCCCTCCTCATGCAACTCCCGGCCCCACAGGGTTTTCTGAGGGACAGGATGGTGTGAGCAGAGGCCAGGGGCAGCACCAGGAACCCTCCTCTCCTTGGTACCTGAAACAGCCCAGGCTTCCGCAGTCTCGTCTTTTTGAAAACACTCGTGAAACCCAGGCTAGACTCTGTTTGCAAGGACACCTGCATGGCTTCCATCCACTGGCCCGGTCTGCCCAGAAGTCAGTACGGTATGGCACTTCAACCCCAGCCTGCAGACCAGCCACCCCTTACCCCTAGGCCTGGCTTATCTGAAAAACGGACAAAGACAGCAATTTCTGACCTGGCGCTATATGCTTGGCAAGTAGTAAGGGCCCAGCAATGACACTTCTAGTCCCCAGAGGTCTGGGAAGAGGTGGGGAAGCTTGGAGGCAGCCTTGGGGGCAGCAATCCTGGCCTCACCCTGAGTCCCCACTGTCTTTAAATTGACTGGAACATAGGCTTCCCTGCGTCTGTGATGGTGGCAAACGGCTCAGGGCGCGGGCTGGTTTTAACTGCACACGTAACCTCCCTGCTGGGCTTCAGCCACAGTAGCCCCAAGAGCATAGCTGAATTCTCCCTAGTCCTGGAAAGTGCCACACAATGTTCTGAAATTGGCTTTCTAGGATCCTTGGTGTGTAAGTTCATTTATTCATACGTTTATCAGAGAAAGTCAAGCGACCGGTTACAAGGGTCCACTGTAGAGCAGGGTTTGCAGATCATTCACTGGGGTTTCCAGGCTCACAGAGGCTCACCTTGCGCTGGGCCATTTCCTAGCTTGCTGACGGCCTTACGGACTCCCCTTGCCTGAGGGTGCCCACCTGCCACTGGGGCTCCCCATCTGTCTGTACACAGCACCTGGGGTTCAAGGGCCGAGGAGAGGCAGGCGCCATGTTTGCGTGGGGGCACAACTGGGAGGAGGATGTGAAGGACTGTTTCCCCCAAAGTAGCCTCCTGGTAGCCAGGGTAGAAGGGTCCCTGGGATTCTTGTTGCCAGGAAGGAGGCAGAACAGTGCTTTCTGCGTTAGGGTGGACTCCTAGGGCCTTCTGTTGGGGGATGGGGATGGGGAACGATGCGGGGGCAAGGCAGCCTTGGGGCTCCAGGGTTCCCCTCAAAGGGGAGGGGCTAGCCTGGATTCCCCCCCAGTCTTCCCCCGCCCCCCCACAACTGGGTCACCCCAGATGGGGCCAGGAGTTGCTGACACGGGTAGAGAACTAGACAGGACTGGCCGGTCCCAAGCACTTGGGCCACCTGATCCGTCCTCACCTCAGGGAGGGCCTATGCCCATGAGATGTGTGTAGTGGATTAGCACTACTATGGTCTTAATGGCATGTCTGTGACAAAGAATAAATACTTAGGGACAGATGGGGACCCAGGGGCATCTTCACTGACTTCTCCCTGGCGCAGCTGGGGGCCCCTGATGTGCACACAGTGGGGTGGGATCCTGCAACCCCTCTAGAAGCCTAACCCAGGCCAGAGTGGCGGGCCCCTCAGGCTAGGAGCTGACTGACTCAGGGCCCTTCACACCCCAAAATTCATCTGGAGTCAGATTCCACGTGCCCATTACTGTTGCCCACCCACAAGCTCCAGGTGATAGTAGGGGCCCTTACAGCAACCTCGGTGAAGGTGAGGGGGTACTGTGTAGCTCCCCCCTCCCGTCAGAGGGACCTTGGCACTAGGACCCAGTGGCCAGATCCTCAAGCCATGCACAGTCCCTGCCGGATGGGCGGCCCCACACCAGCTCCGTGGTGGGCTTTCCCACTGCTGGGCCCTGGCTTCCCACCCATGCCCCCACCCGAGGAGAGGGTTCCACCTGGGGGGCCTGTTTCACCATCAACTCCCTGTGGGACCTGTGTCCTCAGCAGTGAAATGGGGCAGAGCCCCCGTGTCCCCTTTCCCTTTGGAGGCTCTGGGCAGCCTGCCCCTTGGCCGGCAGGTCCAAGCACTCTGCCTTGGGCCTCAGCGTAGTCTGCAGTGGGCAGGGCGGGCATGGTTATTCTCGAGTGGGCCAGCACCGCGTGGGCCCTCAGATGTCGGCGCCCAGCTCTGCGCACTGCTTGTCGGAGATGTGGGAAGCCAGGGAGTCTATGATGTCAAGCAGCAGCTGCTGGCTCAGCGAGCGCAGTGTGGGCAGCTTGGAAACCTGCAGAAGGCAAGCAGAAGGCCCAAACGGGATGGGACCGGATTCACGGGAGGGCCGGGTGGGCTTCGGGGTCTCCCCGGAGCTCCACCAAGCCAGACCACGGCTGACTCCGAGTGGAAGGGGCTGGGCCCCCTGCCGCAGGAGATGAGCAGCTTCCACGCACCCCACCCCGCACCCGGCCAAGGCAAGGCCAAGGGAAAGCGGCTCCTGAAGAGGCGTGGGCGGTGAGCGCGGGGCTGGGAGGGCCCTGACCTTGGTGAACTGGTGCACGATGATGTGCAGGCAGTGCCGCTTCATGTCCAGCGCCTGCGTCTTGTCAGCCGCCTCCAGGATCTGCAACGGCAGGTTCCCTGAGGGACTGCTCCCTCTCTCGCCCGCCCGCCCAGGTTCAGGGAGGCCCGTGGGCGCCAGTGAGCTACCTGCAGTACATTCTGCACCGTCACGTTCATCTCCAGGTTCTGCTTGCAGTACGCCTGCAGCCGGTTGTTGTAGAAGCCGTAATAGTAGGGGGCCGCAAACAGGTAGCTGGGGGCTGGTTAAGGAGCTGCTGGCCCAAGGAGCTCGTCCTCCCGCCACCTGCCCATCTCCCCTGGGAGGGTGCAGCTGGAGCCCCAGGCCCAGCAGGGGCCGAGGAAACCTGAGCCCCTCCTGCTTGCTCAGAACAAGGAAACCCACCCCAGCACAAGGGACTGGCCTGGGGCTCCAATCCAACTTGCTCTCTACATGGACTCTGGAGTACTCGGGGTCGAAGGCCCTAGTCCAGACCCGAAGAAAACACAGGAAGCCTCTCCCAAGAAAACACCCACGTGCCCGTTCGCAGGACGGACCATGGCCTCACAGAGCTCGGAAAGGCATCTCGCACCCAGTTCAGACCCCCAAGAAGTGACACGATCAGGAATCCCTCCATGGCGGTCTACTCACCTGTCACACACAACGCTAACCAACCCCTTCGTCTGGGCAGTGATGAGGGTCAAGAACCCACCCACCCCTCCTGGCTGCAGACCCCTCTGTGCCTGCCGACCAACCCATTCAGGGAGCCCCGGGAGAGCACCAGGCACCAGGGAAGCCAGGACCAGCCTGCCGGTCTCCAGAGCTGCCTGAGGTGGGCCCTGGGGGCGCCCCTGGCGGGGGAGGATGCAGAGAGTCCTCGGGTGGCATGTTGACCTCACCGTAGTAGATGTAGCGCAGCATGGACTCGAAGGCCTGCCTGCTGGGCACCATCTCCCCAATGGAGATGTTCACCTGGCCGTCCTCCGGCATGAAGGACCGGAACATGGCCTCAAAGTAGCTGCAGACAGGGGCGGGGGGAGTCCTGGCTCTCAGCAAATGCAGGCAGGGCGGGGGCCTGGGCAGCCCCGCCACCACACCCCCCCCACCCACCCACCTGGAGCGGGCGGCCAGGATGGCCTTGTGCGCCGGTCTCGGGTGCCCATCCAGCAGCAGAGTGATGTCACAGAACTCCGCACCTGCTCCCTCCAGGTACGCCTTCATGTCCTGGATCAGAGATGTGCCTGGTGGGGAGGCCAGGGGATAGTGTGGAGGGGCCTTGAGCAGATGCCTCCCGCCCCCCAGCAGACCCCGAGCCACCGTACTGCTGCTTGCACATCTGCCCATGTTGCTGCTCTGAACAAACCTGCCCCCGGGGCCAGAGGCCCTACTCCGGCCCGCCCCCCAGAGTCTGATCTGTGAGCCCTCCTCCCCGCCCTTGCGCTTGGGCCCCCTCTGGGCCTGGCAAACACTGTGTCCCGCCACGTGTCACCCAGGGCCCATGGCCAGAGGCAGCACAGGGCCCGGGGAGTCAGGGGATGAAGGAAACAGTGCTGTCCCTTCCCGGGCTAGGTGGGGACAAGGGAGGAACCAGGAACGTCTGAAGTCTTTGGACCGCGCTTACCCCTCATCAGGCCCCCAAGGGCGGGCGCGCCTAGAAGAGCAGCTCAGCGACTAGTCACTGTGACCTGAGCACGCTGCTCCGGACGGAAGCCCTCAAAGCTGAGGTCAGTCAGGGCAGCCACCCTTGCCAGACAGGGGCCCCGTGCCGGCCTCCGGAAACGGGCTCAGGAGCCTGCCCGCCCTCAGGGGCACAGCCTCGGTCGGTGCCCGTGGGGCGGGGCGTCTTCCCTCCAGTGAGCTGGCTGGCTGCCCGAGCCCCAGGAGCGCTCCGGGTCCCCTGCACCCAGACCCCACGCTGGAGGCCGGGCGGGTACTGCCGTGGCTCCCGTCTCCACCCAAGACGAATGCCATCCCTGTGTGCTGCCCCCAGGGATGGGGCCTGGGTCCCTACCAATGTCCACGGGCTGCTCTGAGGGGGCGCGGGCAGGCGGCTGCTGCTTCCGCCGCACGATCTCCACGATCAGTGGGGAAGAGAGGCGCTCGAACTCCTTCATCATGATCACCTGGTTGAAGTGGGACTCCTTCACCACGAAGTTCAAGCAGTGCTCCTGGGACACACAAGCCGGAGCAGGCAGGCAGGGTCAGGCCTTGGCCGACGGGGCGGCGGCCTGGCTGGGATGGCTTGCGGTAGGGGGCACAGGGGGCCGCTGCGGGGGGTGGGGGGGAGTTTGGCAGTGGGGGACAGGGGGCTGGTGGCGGTAGGCGGGGTGGGCCGTGCCCCCCGGGCCCGCACCTTTAACTGGCCCAGCTGCAGCCTGGCGGCGCTCTCGCACACGACCAGCACGTTCTGCAGGTCCACGGAGGCCTCGATGTACTGTCGGCACAGCTGCTCCAGGCGGCACAGCTGGAAGCTCAGTGCCAGCTTGTACACGTCCATGATGAGCAGCACGTCCTCCACGTGGCCTGCAGCCAAGAGCTCCTGAGCCTCGGGGACGTGGGGAGGGGAACAAGGTGCAGGGCAGGAGGGAGGACAGGGTCCGGGGCTCTGGGACATCAGGCAGCAGCTCCACCGCACGAGTGGCCATGGGTGGTCGTGGCCCCCGAGCCTCGGGCTGCCCACCTGCCCCCCTCCCCGCTCCCCCCTCCTCAGCACACCTTTCCGCGGGTACTTGATCTTGTCCGTGTAGAGGAACTGCATGAGCACTTCGAAGGGCCGGGCCTCAGCCTCGCGGATGGCCACGTGCAGCAGGGGCGGCCGGGCCCCCCCCACGGCCCCCCCAGGGACCTCCCTGGGAGCCGGGGCTGCCTCCTCCTCCAGTTTCTGCAGGGAGAGGAAGGGGAGCTCAGGGGCGCCCCGTGGATGCTGCCGCCCTGGCCGGAGGGGGCTGGGCAGCACCTCACCTGGGCCAGCCGTTCCCGCGCCTGCACGATCTTCCTGCGGAGCCAGCGGCTTCGAGCTGTGACAATGGCCACGTGGCCCTGCACACACTCCTCCTTCTGTAGCAAGAACGACGCCTCGGTGGGGAGCACGGGACCCTCCTCCTGGCAGGGACAGAGGCCCGGCCAGACCGAGGAGGGGGTCCGGGGCTCCAGGCACGAGCGGGAGGCCGGCGCGCCTCGGTGCACAGCCCCCACCCTGCAGCATGGCGGGCAGGCTGGGCATGGGGAGGGCACCCACCTCGCCCAGCACAAACTCCACGTCGCAAAACTGGCGGCTCTCCCACAGACGCCCGTAGTCCTCATGCAGGGTGCACTTGGGGTAACAGGAGAACTGCCAGAGGAGACCCCAGTGTTGCCACGGGAAGCCACCACTGGCCCAGGCCCTGCCCTCCTCCGGGCCACGCATCTCCAGCCCAGCTCAGCCCGACTCCAACCCCTGGCCCAAGCCAGCTCCCAGGCCTCCGCGGACTCCACTGTGAGCCCCCAATGCCGCCCCCTCCCCACCCTGCACGGAGGTTCCTCAGACTGCCCTCGGCCTAGAGTCCCCCATCCCGTCTGCCAGACTCCTCGGGCAGGCTGCCATCCCACCAGACACAGCCCTGACTCTGGTGCCTCGGACAAGCCCCCCACCCCCACTGGGCCTCAGTTTCCATCATCTGGGACCCGTCCACCCTGGATGGCCCCCCTGCACTCAGCCCATGAGCCCCACCTGGAATCGGTACATCTCCCCACTGCGGATGTTGTTGTCCACGGTGCCCCCGAAGATGTACATGGCGTCCGAGATCACAGCGGCCGCATGGAAGAGCCTTCCGCTTGGCAGCTGGGCAGAAAGGAGGGGGGGGCAGATAAGTAACCCCTACGAGTACTTCTCTGAGCCTCAGTCTCCCCATCTGTGAGAGGGGCTGACCACAGGACTGGCATGGTGGGGGGTGATGGAGAGCAGTCAGGGCGCCGACCCTCACCTCGGAGGCCGGCGGGGCAGGCTGCTTGGCTGTGGTGGTGCCAAAGTCCAAGCCAAACACATCTCGGGACTTCTTGAAGCCACCGCGCTCCTCAGAGGCCAGCGCAGGCGCCTCCTCGGAAGCAGATGCTCGCTCTGGCACCTCAGCCCCGCCGACCTGGAGGGGAGAGACATGCGGGCGTGGGACCAGTCCGCCAGGGCCAGGCAAGGCAGCAGACACCAACCTCCTGCCAACCCTGTTCAAGAGCGAGAGGTTTGGGAGGGGCGGAGCCACAGGATGAGGGCCCTCGCGGCATGGCTCAGAGGGGGAGCTTCAGGGAGAACAGGGTGGGCTTCTGGGAGAACATCCTCGACACCGTGCAGACGTGACGGGAAGTGTTGCAAGCCCGCAGGCTGCGAGAATGGAGAACAGGGGCCCAGGGTGGCCACCGTGCCTGGCAGCACGCACCTCACTGTCGGAGCTGGGCTGGACGACCTCCCAGGTCTGGAAGTCCACATCGTAGCAGTGCAGCTCATTAGGCAGCGTGTTGTCTGCCGCGCCCCCAAACACGTACAGGTGGCGGTCAAAGGCCACCATGGTGTGCCCGTAGCGCCGCTGTGGGGGGGGCGGGGAGCCACGAAGCAGGTGCTCCGTGGGGATGCGCGTCCACCTGGGGGCCCGTGACAGTGAACCAGTGCCAGGGTGGGGGCTCCTGCTCCCCCACGGCCTCCACCTGGGTCCTGAGGCCTCCCCACAGCAGGCCCTGGGCCGACCAGCCGGCTCAAAGGAGGGCCAGAGTGCATACACCCAATGCCCCTCATCCCCTTTCGCTCTGGCACCAGCCCTGCCTGAGCCCCCTTCTGTCCCCCAGCCATAAAGCAGGCAGCAGCGGTGGCCCAATGTCCGCCACCTCCCCAGATCTGTTCCCGCTGTCTCTGAGCCCTCTTTGTGGCCCACCGCTGTGAGCACTGAGGCCAGGATGGAGACGCAGGCCTGCGTGCAGCGTGGCTCTCCTCTCAGGCCCGGCCAGCCCGGGACAGGAGAGCTGGGTGGGTGGCAGCGGGACTCCCCCTGCCTGGGATGTCCTGACCTTTCTCTTCCCAGCCCACACCTCTGGCCTCCAGGGCAGCTCCAAGTCCCCTCCCGAGCCTCTGTGACCTGCAGTAGAAGCTCCCTGTTCCCTCCCCAGAGCCAATGCCCGGCCTGCGCCAGCGCTGGGACTCAGTCCCCATCATGAGGGCTGGCCTGCAGCTAAGGACAGCATAGGCTGGAGGCTGTCGGGGCCTGAGCACCCCCCTCGTCCTCTGCCACGGTATGAGATCTATACCAGCCACATTTGTTACCGGTGGCACTGAACAGGCCATTCGCCGGGCAGGAGCCGTCCTCCACACTGGACAGAGGCCAGCCAAGCCCCATCTTGCTCAGCCGCAGCCACACCCCAAGGGGCCTGCTTGCGCACTTTGAGGGCACCCACATTTCCTCGCTCCTAGCTCCCCGGCCCCCCAAACCCGGCCTGCCCGGCTGTGCCACAGACGCAGGTGCCCACCACGGGTCCCACCACCAGGGTGCTCACGTCTTGTCCTTGAATTCGAACTGGAAGAGGTTGTTGGTTATCTTGGCTCCGCTCTGCCCCGAGAACACAAACATCTTGTCCCGGCACACGGCCACCGGGAAGTTGCAGCAGGACGGCGGGATCTCGCCGCTCTGAGCCACCTGCGGTAGGGAAGGCAGCTCAGCCAGAGCCTCCCGGGACCCGGTGCTCGGGGTCAAGACTTACACTGCTGAATCGGGACTACTTTCACTCCTGAAACTTCTTCCGTGAATGAGGGTTCATAGATTAATTTCTGTAGAACAGCGTAAAGCCCCACCTCGCCCACCTAACATGGGCCCAGTTTCTAACAGTTGAGGCTAAAAATCATCACTACAAGGGAAAGACACCCCAGGGGGGAGACAATGGAGCAGTCAGACAGATTGCCCAGAAAGAGCAGCGAGCAGGACACCTGCCAGCAGGCTGAACTCGCGGTGTTCAAATAAGGGTGGATTCTACCCAAGCTGCACCAGTCACCGGACGTGCTGCCATCAGAAGCCCAGAGCCTTTAGTCACTAGGTAAGTGCTGCGGGAATCGGGCAGGAAGTCGGCAAGGAGGGTGAGGCTGAGGACAAGGCTGGGCTTTGGCAAGGGGAACAAAGCAGTCCCTACCCCGGCCCCCCCCAAGCCCCTCATCTTCCTGCCTCCCCTGTACCATCCCGGCCCCCCAAGCCCCTCACCTCCCTGCCTCCCCTGCCCC